AAACAAAATGGATTCTATGTATTTTGAGGTGATCTTTTCGAAAAAAGGCAAAACAAAATGTAGCAGTTTTTCGAAAGTGCCGAAATTTTGGATTTTGTCAATTTTTCAATTTTGCGCAGGCGCATGTCGGAAATAAATCAATATTTTTAAAACGCAGTTTACGACATTTGAAAGCTTAGGAAAAATGCTAATTTTTATGTCTTTTGAGAAATTTTGATCTGATGCACCGTTCTCGCGGTATGGACGATTGAAATTTGTTTAGTATTTTGAGGCGACGAAGGTCGAAAAACTGAGTTTGTTAAATGTTCAAACACTAAATTCTTTATAACATTGTTAAAAATTAAGATATTTAAAAAAGCAAAAATTCGTTTAGAACTTAAGGGATGTGACTAGTGATTCCCAGAAGGGGGCAAGAGAAATCCTAAAATTGGGCGTATGGCGGAAGGGCAAAATGCACCGCGGTCCTAATTTCATTGTTTGCCTATAACGGCCAAACTATTTGAATTTTTTTAATGCCACTTACAAAGCTTACTCTTAAATGTGAAATCTTATGTGTGTGTGAATTTCACCGACATCGGACCATAATTGGCTAAGATATCAAACAATTAAATAATTTTTTAAAAAAAAAAAAAAAAATTTTTTTTCGAAAGTTTCAAGTGGCACAAAAATGCCAAAAATGCACCCAATGGCTTAAAACTTTTTTTTTGAGTACTCTATTGTGTCTAGAATACGATTACATTACGGAAAATTCTGCAAATATATTTTATCTATTTTTTTGACCACTGTTCATTGAGTGACGACCAAAAAACACGGTTTTTGAGAAAAGTTGCCTAAAATTGACAATTTTTAGTTTTTTTGTCTGAAAATTAAACAAACCCAAATTTTATGTCTTCTAAATGTGTATACAAAGTTTAAAGTGTGTATGTTTCTTCTGAGTTGTAGAATTCTCCCGACAAAAGTCCCATTTCACGCGCTCCGCGGGATCCAAAACTCGTGTATACACTACATTACTGTAATTTGATTTTTTTGCGATTTCCAGTTTTAAATTTCTTGCATATCTAAATTTATTAGGCTTAAAATTTATTAAATTATATTTTACTGACTTGTTATAAGACGTTTCTTGAGTTTTGTGCAAAATATAGAATTACCAGATATTAGCGAACAAAAAGCAAGCTTATCACCAAGTTGGAACTTACACTCAGGCTTAGGATTAATTTCCTAACATTTTTAAAGTATACTTTTTTGTGTATTTTTTTGTGCTTTTTTCGATGGAGAAGTTAGTTTTTTCAAATATATTTATTTTGTTAGATGTTTTCGGAAAACCCGGAAAAAATCACATGGGAAAAAAATTTAAAAAAAACTACGCCTCTGGTTTCCTGCGAATTCCCGAAAAATTATGTCAGATTTCGCCGCGGGATTTATTTTATTTGAGAGCCAACAAAAAAATACGCAACTTCTCTCATGGGCACATATGTCTAACATTTATAATTTCGCCACAAATTCATCGCAAATTTCATGTCCATTGTTCTGATCAAAAAAACGAAAAATTGACTTTTTGGTAAAAGCACTTCTGGCGGCGAGAAATTCGCCATTAAAACTACCTGTGCAATGAATTTCCGAACTATTTTTGCCTCCTCTTTCGAATGGTGCATTTATTTTCACTATCGGAATGATACTTGCCCAGATAATTAGCATTTTTACAATGGAAAATTCCGGAAAACCCGGTTTTTCCTAATTTAAAAAAAATGAAAAACTGCTACATCTTTTTTCTATTTTTCGGAAAGATCACATCAAAATACACAAGGTCCTTTTTGTTTCATCCAATTACAAATTAATGTAAGCTCGAAGGGGCTTTTTTTCGTTATTTAATTGGACTATAACAAACCTACTTCCGATTTATTAAACTCGTAGTTTTATTTAAACACGGTTTTTAAATAAACACAATTAAAATTGTCTTATGGTGAATTTTAAAGATTGATAGCTTGATTGGAAACATCAAGATAAAATAATGTAAAGAGAGGACATAAACACTATTTTGCGATATGACAAGTGAACGCACTTTAAGTCGTATTTTGATTAATTTGATGTTAATAATTTTATATTTGAAGATTGACTGAATGAAAATGATTTTATATAATTAAAGTTATGCTATTTTAAAAAAAAAAATATTCTCTCTAAAACTGACTAACTTCACTTGCTCGAGTTTGACATTATGACATATGATTGGAAAGTTCGTATGCCCTGCCCTACTTTGTGACATCAATGTGTGCAAATTAAGCTAATTTAAGTGATTTTATCTTTGCTTCACTACTTTTCACGGATCTGTTAACGTGTCACATCTCTTTTTAGCTAAAGACTCTCGAAAACCCTTTTCATTCCTTTTGGATCACTGATAAAAGAGTCCCTCGGAAACGCCATTGTCCAGAGTGCAGTGGCGTACCCAAAAATATATATTAACACGTATGAAAACAATAAAATTAAATTAATATTTTTGTTATTTATTTTAAAATAATGTGTTTTTATGAAATGTAATTGTGTGTTTACTGTGCAAATGAACCAATGGAGAAACCGCCCCTGGTAGAAATGTTAAAGAACTTAGCATTCGAGCTTTCTTCTTCCGTGAGCCCGGATTATGATACAGATTTTTCTTAACGATACAGATTTTTAATCAATAGAAATTTTTCAATTAAGCATGCTGTGCATTTGACGTTTGTCCTAGGTTCCTATGTAATTATTTTAGTTGTCAAAATCAGTACGTATTAAATTTTCGTAGATAGCTAAACTTCGATAATTATATTATCAAAATGTCTGATATCAGCGATATAGAAGACTTACTACTATGTAAAGTATATATAATCTTGACATGTCAAGAAACCTACCACAAAACCAAATTTTTCAGAAATTGGCGCCTAATAAAGTCACTTTACATATTCTAGATGGCGATGTCCACATAAAAAAGTGACTCAGCTAAAAATAGATCTTTTCCTTAGCATCAAAAGTGTAGCACTGAGCTACACCATTTCTGAAAATATCGTTCCATTAATACAAATTGTATGGATGGAACGATATTTTCTGAAATGACGTAGCTCAGTGCTACACTTTCGATGCAAAGGAAAATAACTACTAATTATTACTTTAGATTTTAATATGTACACTGGATCTAAAAGGGTTAATTGTTATTTACTATATAAGTGTGATAAGAGCTTTACGCATGCGAAATTTGCAGGAGTGCGTAGCACGAGTTGGGCAATCGCAGAAGTACATTAATGAAGCGTTATCACATGTATATCTTACAAATTTTTATCTACGCCTCTAAATTTAAAAATAAACGGTAATTATAATTTTTGTGTAAGACTAGGGTTATTGTTCTCCACCACTGCCTACATGTCGATTGGCGACACATCGAAAAGTTGGGTGGCGATTCTAACAATTGAATAAAAACGTTTTGTTTTCTTAGCAAAAATAATATTGTCATAAACAATAAGTTAAAAATAATTTTTGCATTTTCTAGTAATAAAATGAGTGATTCGGAAAGTTTGCCAGCTGATATTGAAAAACAAGCTTTAAAAGCTATTTCCGGCCTGTTACCGGAAAAATCTAGTAAAGTAATAATAAATAATTAAGCTGTAAATATAGTTACTTGTTACTTAAAGACGGGAACAGATCTGAGCACGTACGCGTATAGGTGGGTACAGATCTGAGCACTTACGCGTATGAGGCAAGCCGAGGCACAACCGAATGCCTCGTGCGACGCATTTTGTATACACGAATGGTGGACGCACGAGGCGCTGTTCGCCACTGATCCAGTAAATTCGCAAGCACGCAACCGTATACCCAGAACATTCGTAAAATTAAAACAACAATGAAAAATGAGGATGACGTCTCGAAGTTGAATGCATGTTTTATTATTTTATCCGACACATTAAAGAAAAAAGAAGAGAAAGGAATCGATGGTCGATTTTCTGCCAAGGATATTCTTTTTTAAAGTGTGTTGCAATAGAACTGGCGCTTTGCTCTCTTAACATATCTCGCTGATATAAATCCAGAAGCAAAACGTTTTCCTCATTTCACTCCACAAAAAATATAGCTTGAAAACTCGCTATAATCTGTTCGATGATGTATGGTACAAATTCCCCGTCCAGACTGAGCACGTACTGTGCATTGTCTCCCTTTGATATACCGTCAACAAACGAATCGGGGCGAAACTGTACGGCGCACACAACGAGGCAATTTGCCGCGCCTCGGAAGCCCGTCCTCATCAGCATGCTCATGCGTCCTCGGCTTGCCTAACGCATACGTGCTTAGATCTGTACCCGCCTTTAGAGGTAAGCTTAAGACGCATGAGTATGCAGATGTGGACGGGCTTCCGGGGCGCGGCAAATTGCCTCGTTGTATGCGCCGTACGCCCCCGATCCGTTTGTTGGCGGTACATCAAAGGGAGGCAATACGCAGTACTTACACAGTCTGGACGGTGAATTTGTACCATACAGCACCGTACAGATTATAGTGAGTTTTTAGGATTTATTTTGCATGGAGTGGAACCAGAAAAAGCATTGGCTGTGTCAGATAAAATAATAAAACATGCACTCAACTCCGCGACTCATCCTCATCCTTCATTTTTGTTTTAATTTTACAAATGTTTTGGGTATATGGTTGCGTGCTCGCGAATTTACTGCATCAGTAACGAACAGCGCCGCGTGCGTCCACCATTCGTGTATACAAAATACGTCGTACGAGGCATTCGGTTCGGCCTCGGCTTGCCTCATAGGCGTACGTGTTCAGATCTGTATCCGCCTTAAGATTGTGACAGTAATTCGTTATTAAATTTAAATAGATTTTGACTTTTTTATTTGATTGATTGAAAAGAAGTGAGATAAGAAAAATGCGTGCGTTAATAAACTTATCTGAGTGGGCTAAGAAGTTCTTTTCTCACGGGCGTAGATAAAATATATAATTGTGTGTTATTTTTATGTCTAAATTTTATCAAATATATTTTTTAGGTTCCAATTAAGAAAGTCCATATATTTACCCTTATACAACTGGCTTGCCTGTCATGTCTGTGGATGGTAAAATCATTTAGTCAAACGTCAATTTTGTTCCCACTGATGTTGGTGGTCATGATAGGCATAAGAAAGTCCTTAGATTGTATATTCACGAGACGTGAACTAAAGATATTGGATGATGTTATGCCAGAGAACAACAAAAGACGCCAACTGGAAGATGAAGAGGTGGGCTGCTGTAATATTTCTAGAATAATTTTAGGACCAAAATTAATAATGCAAAAAGATTACATAAAGTGTAATCAGAACACTTGGGAAGGGTAATAATTCCTGTTTTATCAGATCTAGCAAATTTGCTCGCCGTTACTAGAGTAGCTGACCCAATTATCAAATGTTCCTATCAGGAATTTTTCTTCCTGTTTCCCTATTTCTACAAGTAAAAGCGAGTATTTATTTCATATAAAATCGGGTTTAAAGGTGTTGGATATTAAATAGTCAGTTTGTCAGAATTAAAAGAAAATCGAAAATATTCGTAAACCAAATTATATATTTAGCAAAACTTTAGATCAAATTAAAAGATAGTGATCCCTACAAGCTACCATTTTTACGAAGGTGATTATTTGCTGGCCAAATTATATATAAGACTCTGTTTTGTAAACATATTTTAGTATCAAAAACAAACATCAATGTACTGAGAATACCTTTAATTTAAAAAATATGTTTTACCAAATTTATAGGATTATTCAAAATAGATTGAACAAAAGCAAGTAAACAGTATTTATATTTCTACATAATTATACTTCTATAATGTTTTTGTAAAATATTCAAAATTCTTTTTCAGAATATTTCTGGATAATTTATTTTTATTATATCAAAATTTGTAGAAATATTTTTCGAAATGTTAGTACTAAACCAAATGTTCCATTCCAGACGTTAAAAATGACATAAAATATGTTCGTAACATATTATAAATGTGCATACTTAAATCAGGATATTTGTGTTTTCTATGCAACATATTTTTTAATCTTTTCTTTATACTTCTTAACAGCTATATATATTCTTTATACTTCTTAACAGCTATAGGGTTATATTCTTTATTTTAATGTTTATTTTTTTACTACGAATTTAATATTACACACCTTTTAACTAAATGTGATTATAAATTATTATCATTTATTGAAGTATCTATTTGTACCTAAAAAGTCTTGCAGTATAGTGCCTTTACGTAAGCATAAAAAGAAGTATACTCTTTTTTCCAGACGATTTTGACTATTTTCTTCAGAAAATACTTCCTTTTGGTATGCATAAAAATTTTAGTCGGTAGATTAATAATAATTTGTTAAAATTGAATTAATAAATTGAATGGGGTTCGGAAAAGACGATGAAAATTTTTAAGGGATGAGTTTACATAAAAAAAACTGCAGGCTTTGGAATATAGTATCGAAATAACAAATATGGTTTTCACATTTGTCTTGCACTATTTATTTACTTATTTTAAAAATAATCAGTTTTCTTTGAATAAAAACTATAAAAATCTTTAAAAAAATGATATCACAAACTATTAAAAATGGGATAAGAAAAATCTTCAAAATATTGTCTATATTCTTTTATTTATCGAAGAACCTTTTCTACATGCGAGATGTTGACAGCAATAACATGCTAGCCTGTTAGGCTACATGTAGGCAACATTTTATACATTTAATGTATAACATTTAAATTTTATATTACAATAATCCAAGTACTTATACAGTATTTATGAATTTTGATTTAAAAATAAATATTCTTTATTATTTTTATTTTAAAACTAATTTTGTATTTCGTTTTTGTCTTAGGCCAAAAAATATTTATTTTCTTTACAAAGGTTGTAACTAAAACCTTCTTGGCAATAACAGACGTTAAAAAAGTAAGTTAACAACAATATAGTTTTTTAATAATTCAATATTATCTAAATACAACAAAAAATGAACTATCAAGTATTTGTTAGTATTATTGAAGATCACATTTTAAAAATATCGGGCGACCCATGACATAGGAACAGAAGGGAGTTTGGTTATTTAAGGTCTTTTTTTGTATTTGAAGACATATTTTAATATGAACCTTTCTCCTATATTTTTTTTTGTAGTATCATACCTTAAAATTTCTCATCGTCATTTTAAAGTTACTCGGTTGACACTGGTGACCGTATGCCTATGCGAAATATAAAAATAAAAGCCGCGAAATGCGCCACAGTTACATACGACTGCAGAGAACTATCGCCTCACACAAGCGGAATGTACTGAGAATTCTCTGGCGGATTCAGCTATTTAGGTCAATCTGTAGATGGTGATAAGGTAAATGTACATCATCCTCAAAATGACACATATTACTAATCTATAAAATCTTTTAAAAATGTTATTTTTTCTACTGAAAAATATTAAAATATTTATTGTTTATAAACTACATTTTATGAAGTAGGTAAGCGCAAATATTGGAAGAATAACATAGTCTTCCAGAAATTATTTTAATTATAAGTAGGCTTTTGAAGATGAAGTAAATACAAATATAAGCAAAATATTTTGCGTATGAAAGGAAGTACTTACTTGAAAATCTAAATAAGCCATCATGGTAAATGTTTTTAGTAAAATGCTTCTTTTTAATGCATAAATTGTCAATGTGTTGAACTAGGTTATAAAATAGAGTGGTAATAATTAAATTATGCCCACGAGTTGTTATAAAAAAAGAAGCTACTGCTGGGAAAAATTTTGTTATAATATTATGCATAGTAAAAAGTGAATTACTACAGAACTTTAATTAAGTTTTGGTCTCCATTTGAATTCTTTATTTAATTCAATTAAATAAATAACAGTAACATCTTTATAATCCAAAAGATCTTCCGTACTAATTTATAAACCGAAGAAGTTATTAATACGGGTTAACTGATACCTAATTCTATTTACTTACGTATACAGTGCCAAAATGTAAAAGTTACATACTTTATTATTTATAAAAACGTTGTTAAAGATTTCGAGTTCTTATATATTTTGAAAAGAATGACTTTTGGTCTCGTTACAATCCAATCAGATTCTTTTCCTAGCCTTCTAAAGTACCAAACAGAGGTTAATGATGTCTTCAACGAGCTTAAAATATGTGTTTAACTATAAAGTATTTCTTCAATTCGATAGAATATTGCCTGCCACTGGAATTAACCCACCCGCCTATCATTAGATTGGTTTTTGGACACATATATGTTGTTTCTTTGGGAAATAGACACACAGGTTAACTATGGATGGAGGCTACAGAGATGCTTTCAAATAACCCATATATAATTTGGCCTATTTCTATCTCAACTCATAATTTGCCAACCACTATGTATAAGTATTCCAATTACAATTTATCTTCAGTCAGTGGTTCGAATTAGAAATACTTTATTCTCAGTAATACAAAGATAAAAATGTTCACACAGTCGTCAGTACTTGCACCCTTAAATAGTTACATCTACATAGAATACTGGTAAAATATACCACATTTTACATACATAAATCATATAAAATTTAAAATATATATTAAAAGATCATAAGAATTCGTAATATGTAGTAATAAAGAAACATCACAAATATTAAAAATATTAGGTGACATGTTTTACATTTACAAAATAATCGTTAATGTGTTAACGTTCGTTTCTATTTTGTTTAAATGGTCAAAAATGATTAAAACTGGTCAAAAATGAACAAAAATTGAATAAAAACGGTCAAAAATAGTCATAAATGTTCAAAAGTGTTCAAAAATGTTCAAAAATGTTCAAAAATGTTCAAAAATGTTCAAAAATGTTCAAAAATGTTCAAAAATGTTCAAACATTTTCAAAAATGTTCAAAAATGTTCAAAAATGTTCAAAAAATGTTTAAAAATGTTCAAAAATGTTAAAAATGCTTAAAATGTTCAAAATTGTTCAAAAATGTTCAAAAATGTTCAAAAATGTTCAAAAATGTTCAAAAATGTTCAAAAATGTTCAAAAATGTTCAAAAATGTTCAAAAATGTTCAAAAATGTTCAACAATGTTTGTTTAAAAATGTTCAGAAATATTTAAAAATTACCATTTTTACTTGCTGCTTAGTAAATCGTTTGCAATTTAAGTGTTTCAAAATTGAAATAATTAGAATCGTTTCTATAGCTTTATAAAGCAAACATAATTTATAATGTTGCTAAAATAAGCAATTTTAACAAGAACATCGCCAAAAGTGTGGTTATCTTTTTTTATTGGGGCATGATGATTCAAAACATAATTAAAACTGGGTGAATTAAACTATTCTTTTGATTAATACCTAGGCAACGCAGAGAAATCTTCTGGTAATATTTTTTTTACTATTCTGTGTGTCGAAGCAGAGCACAGTGCGCGTGTGCAGTGTATAGTTATCAGAACAGAAAGGAGAATATATCGTTGGGCGAACTCAAGTTTACTTTTTATAATAAAAACAAATTGCTGGTTGGCTGAAATGTCGGGGAATGCCGTCCATCTAAGCGAAAATGTGATTCACTTCTTCGCAAGTGATGTTTTTTATTTTAATTTAAACGAAACAGGAATGTTTATTTTGGTTGGTTTTAAGCTACGTGGCGGATAAAATCGACCACATTGCATTGTTGGGAAACTTCTTTCAATTTTATTTTAACCGTCGTGGTTTTATTTAAGCCCTCTTTTTTTCTTATATTCTCCTTGATTTCTAATTCTTCTTTATTTGATGTAATTATAAATATTTGTGAATGTTGTTTTTCTCTATCAGAGGGTTTTAAGGATCTTAGGACACGAGGAATGGGCATTAAGTCAACAAAAGAAATATTGGCACTAACGGTTTTATCTCCATAGTCTGTATCATCAGAATCAGTGTGTTCTTCGAGATCATTGGTACTATCGTCAAAATCACTACTTATGCTATTTTTTTATAATCTTTTTTAGATGTGTCTTTTTTTGATGGTCTTTTTTCAAGAAGGTTTTTTGCAGAAATATTTGCAATTTCTCCTTTTTTTGCTTCGCACACTAGCTGCTTTACCTCATTCAGCATTTCATTATATCTCTTATTTTGATTTTCATCTGCTTATTCTTCAATTTCATCCGTATTCACAAACTCTTCTGTGCTAATAACGTTTTGGTTCAGAGGGTTAATCCCCGTAGTCTCGAAACCTTTAACAGCTTTTTCTATCGTAGCTGTTCTATTAAAAGCCTTCTTGAATATCTCCGCTACATCTGTTTGGTCAATTTTTAATATTGTTTTGTTCTGATAAAATTATCACACTCCTGATTGTAAGCAGTTTTAAGTGGACCGTAAAAGCATATATCTAACGGTTGTAGCCGATGAAAGGTGTGGGGCGGAAGGGTAACAATCTAAATTCCATTGGTCTTAGAGAAATTGAATATCCTTAAAGTGCAATGGCTACTGTTATTGTCCATTATTAACAGAACTCTGTCATTAGTGGAACATTTTGTGTGCTTAACGAAGTGAACTAACCAATCGTAAAATAGGTCATCGTTAACCCAGCCGTTTTTAAACGTTTTGTATATTTAATTAACTGGTCCATTTTTCATAAGTTCATATTTCATACGAGCTCTTCCAAATATAAACATGGGTGGCACATAATCCCCTGCCATACTAATCGCACAAATAACAGTTACTACCTTACCTCTTTCACCACTGCTAAGAGCACTAACTTGTTTTTGGCTTTTGAGAGCAAATACTTGTCCAGGAACATGTACATGAGTGACGGCTATTTCGTCAACATTGTATATTCTGTTTTGCGAAAAGTTGAATTTCTCTTATTCTTTTGTAATATTAGAAAAAACACAGCAAACTTTTTTGCATTGAAGACCGTTATTATATTTAGCGATGTTGGCTCTGGTTTTCTTAATAAAATATTTTTATTATTTACCGTAGTATATAGAAAGGCAAGTTTCATTAATTGCTGCCTAGTTAGCCCATAAAACAACTTTGACATCTCGAGGACGTAGTCATTCAACTCTTTTTCTTGCTCGGCAGTCAAAACAATGGATTTATCCAGTATCTTTTTATTTATTGGAACTTTACCACGAAGACGGTCTTGAAGAGTTATATAAGGAATATCGTACATTTTTGCTGCACGTCTTTTACCAAGACCACCTTTAACAGCATTTAGTGCTCTTTTCATATTTTCTAGGTACCAACTTTCCCGTGTTGTTTTACGTGTATATTTGAAGGGCATAATTATTTTTAAAATAGAGAAATAAAAATGTTTAAAATTTTTTCGGGCAAAACCAACCATGCGGGTAATACCGACCACCAAGGTCGGCTATACCCGCCATGGTAGTCATTTTTATTTTGTTAACGAAAAATTGTGTATAAGATTAGGAACGAAAAAAATGGTTGCTACATAATCATAAGTACTCTTTCAATAACAAAGTAGATAATACGTATATTTCATGTAATATTCAAGAAGACATACCTATTTCTAATGTTAACAATATTATTAAAAATACACAAAAACACGTTTATTCACTTTAATGGCCGACTGCACGTAGGTTGCCGGGACACGAGATGTCAAGTATATTAGGTGGGGAGCTCGTTGACGCATATTTTAAGTAAGAAACAGCGTGGTCGGTATTCCCCTCCTGGTCGCTCTTCCCCCCTTTTCCTTATAGCTAGGGGCAATGCAAACTAACAAAAAAAAACTTTTCTCTGAAAAATAGGTACTACTTTTTTTTATATTTCTACCCTTATTTAAATCTAACATTTTTAGATCAAACACATACAAACGGTTTGGGAAGTAGTTGAATAAACATGAAATACAAACAATATGGTGTAGGTACATTGTAAAATGACATTTAGTAACATGTCAATTTAGTTTCAGAGAACAAAATAGTGAGTTCAGCAATTTTTTTAAATCAAACTAAACTAAAAATAATAAAACTACTTTGCTAGTTTCGTTTCTTGTTTATGTCTTGTTATACATACGATAAATTATGGAGAATAGCACGTGTTAAAAACATGTACAGGGTGGTTGCTAAGTTACGAGTTAGGAAGAAATAAGCAAAATGGATAAAAAAAACCCTATATATTTCGATTATAAAGGACGAAAGATCTACTAAAAATAGGTTATTTGGAAGCACCTCAATGGGCTTCATTCACAGTTAACATGTGTCTCTTTTCCAATGAAACATCGTGTCTAGGAGGAGTTGTATTGGAGAAATTTGTGAATTTGTTGAAGTTAAAGATTGATTTCTATTTCCCAAAATTAGGCATGTATATTTCAATTTTACTTGAAATTGAATTTTAAGTCTAACCTCAGCATATTCATTATGTCTCATCGACTTTGACTACCTACTTGTGCATGGATTTCGATTGGAAGCAAGTTTTGAAGCGTGACTGCAGGAGTTAAAATCTATTGTTTTCCTTTAAGCTATTTAGTCACAAATGAAAAAGCATCGGCAATATTTCTTTCTCTACAGACTTTTGATCATTTTGTACTGTGAGTCGCCTTAATCGAAATCGGTTAGTTCTTTTTATAAATTGTGTAGTATGTAATTTTTGACCTTCCATGAAAAACAAATTAAAACTTATCATCTATACACAAAATATATCATGTAGTGTAGTATTTCATCTGCAATCAAATTTGTTTAATTATTGTAAAGTTTATTTATTTATTTTATTAGCCTTTATTTAACTCATTACTCACTAATACATATCATAAATGTGATTTTAGTTATGAGATTTTATCAATATATCTATAATTACAAAGTACAAAGTGGAATTCCTTTATGTTACTCTTTTTTAATCGGATATTATTGTTATTTGTTAATTAATATTTAAAAAATGTTACATTTGCTTGATTATATATCAGTACATATTCTTTATTTGTTTCATGAAAAGAGCACTACATATTTTATATTTTTTAATGATCGCATTTCTTCTTTACTTACGAATCAAAAACTTAAGAATAATGTTAACTTCTTTATTATAGTTACTTGTAAAAAGTATCTAAGTTTAAACTACACATAACCTGAGTAACAATATTCTGACTTCCCAAATTTATTAAGACACAATCGGATTGTGGTTACAATACTTTTACATTCGACAAAAAAAAATAAACTTAAAAATAACAAATTAAATGAAATTTATAAAGAAAAACCTTATTGAAACATCAGAAATACTGGAAAAAATAGGTAAAATTAAAAATCAATACCAAATTCAAAATGTTAAACCTAATATATTTGATTCTACTACTAAAAGTATTATAAAAGATATTTAATAATTTTATTTTCATTTACATTTTCAACATTCTTCTTGAAATAATTGAGAACTAATATTCTTTAGAAGTTAACATAATTTTATATTATTTAAAATACAAAAAGTAGTTGACTTTTCATGAAAATAAACTAATTATTTTTCAAATTTATCTGTTTATAATAATTGTTATGGGAATTCCAACATACACATTCCATGAGCTTATTACCATGTTTTTGTTACCTCTCTTAGTTGTAAATTTATTTATATTTTATAATTATGTTATGTTTATTTCAATAAATTATTATTCATTTATTTATTTAGTTATTTTGCTTTGCTCCAAAAAGGTAGGCTCCTATTTCTTTAGAGAATCTCTATATCAAGAAGCATGTATGTTTTTCAGATGCTTCAATTTTACGTAGGGAAATAAATTTAACACTTTTTCACATAAAATGGCATTTAATGGATTTATACTTTAGAAAAGGAACCTATCAAAGAAGACCTTCATATTCTTGTATTTTTAATGAAAGAACACTCAATTCTATGTAGAATATCCGAATGATTATCGAATAAACTGAGTAGTCCGTATTTTTCCGACAGTGATTTTTTTCTCGAACTTATGGAAAAGTGACGGTAGGTAAAAATTAACTAAAACTAATTGAACCGGTATGATTTGCATAGTGAATAGTATAGTTCGGAGAATAAGCCAGTTAAAAGTTTTGGAAGTTAATTTTGCAGTGAATCCGTAATTATATTTAGATTAATTACTTCAAAGTTTCTCTTCAATCCACTAAAAGTCTGGCTATTAATTTCTATTGGATTTAATCAGAATGAGCTATAAAATTAAGAAAATAAGAATTTGTTAAACCTATTTTTGCACTAACGAAATTGACTGTACTTTAGAACATTATTGTTATAGTTAATAAAAAAACCGGCAAAGTGCGAGTCGGACTCGCGCATGAAGGGTATACATTTTGGTGTCGTTTGCATAAAAAGACTTACAGGTGTGAATATGTAAGGCGAGATCACTGGCATATACTAAAAATAACAGAGGACCAAGCACCGATCCCTAGGGTACTCCACTAGTGACCTGTCGATCAAAGGAATGTGACTGTCCAACTTTGACACTAAAATTTCTATTGGCAAGATAATTTTCGATCCACTTGTTCAGATTGCCTCGGATACCAAAGTGTTCTAGTTTAAGAGTCCGCTACCGAGAAACACTTTGCCGATGCTGACATAACCTGAAATTCTAAAACCAGTCTCGGAGGCGTGGCTCCTTTATTCGGAAAGGTGTAAAAAGCATCCAGCCCAAAATGTACTTCGCGCGATTGCAAATATAATTTTAACGTTTCTATAGTAGGACGGAAAGCCCGGTCTAGGATGCATAAAAAAACTGAGGTATAACCAAATTTGACCTTTACTATTTGAAAAAATATGTTTTATTACATTGAAAATGGAAATTGATGACCATCTTTATTGGACAAAACAAAAGATATAGGCAAAAAACAGAAAAAAAACTTTTTTTTGTTAACTTTGAACACTTAACTTTTTAACTTTTTTGCTAAAATAGTTAAAATAACAACTTTTTTGTTTTATTCCTTATTCAATTTACTTTTTTTTGGTGTATTTGTTTTTTGCAAAAATGTTGTAAACTATATGAAAAAACAGTATAATTTAAAAAAAGATAACAAATTGACAAAAAAAAATTAACTCACCTTGCCATAACTTTCTTATGCAAAGAGCTATTTAAATGTTATTTTTTTTCAAAACTGTGGAATTTAATGAGCTGCATTTTGTCTCAATTAATACGTGGTCTATTTTTAATAATAAAACCTGTAGCGGCTTTTAAACGTCGGGGCGAATGCCTCGGCCGTTGAATTGATAGCGGTTTTTTCCATTGTGATCGACGCTCCTCTTGTTGCACACACACTCTCGCAGTAATGTTTTATATCAAAATTTTCGTTAGTTATTTGCACTGGAGCGAAGATAAATCGTTAGTCATTAATTTTCTTCCAAAAAATTCTAGTACTTTAGAAAAATAATAGCTAGGTAATTGTGGCATAATTTTATTATATTATTAAATCAAACTTTTAACAAACAAAACAAAATTAAAACAAATTATAGAAAAATGTAGAGTCAACAGGATCTTCAGTTTCAGTTGTATTAAATAATTTTGAACAGTATAACACTAGACATGTAGATTAACATGTAATTATTACGTACTATGATGAAAAATGTTGCAAAAATATAGTTTTCAATTAAATGGATAAAAATATTCGGAGAATTTTATTAACAATTAAAATATCTATACATCAGTATGTATAAATATTGTACATGTCGATTACATTTTTGCCAGAGAAACATTTTACAATATTGTTAATAAGTACACAAATAAAAAATTACTCTAGCAAATATTAACACTGATCTCATACAAAGTATAGTAAATAGTACTAACTATTAATTCTATATATAATACAAATTTCAAAGGTATAGCAAGACTTACATTTCTAAAAATGTAAATTTAAGTTCATTTTAAAAAAATGAAGAAGAAAATAAGAGAAATCCCACTATGAATAATTTAGAATACATAATTTTCAAAAACCAGTTTTTGAAACATTACTATATCAACCACCACAGGTACTTTCATATTATGTATCACACTTTTTAATGGGATAAGTCGTCTGGAAGCAATTGTTTTTTAGGATTTTCAAGGAATTTCTGGTTCTTAATTTTGTGATCTGGTTTACTGGTTTGGATCTTTCTCTTTCCTTCTTGACTGTTTTTCCTTTCTGCGCATTTTTCCTAGGCATCTAATATGTACAGAGGATCTCTGATTTTCATACTTCGGGGGTGTCTTGGATCAATAATATCTGGTAGTAGGCAATTGTAATAAAACATTTCTAATTTATTTAACATTATATTTTTAAAAAAAGATTCATCTTTATGTACTTTCAGGCACACAAAATCGTGTTACCTCCATACTACAAAGTAACAGGTCGTTTTTTCCCAGATATTGAGTTGTCCTTGAACTTGATAAAAATAATTATGATTTTTGTTAAGTTCAAATCCATCTCCTGAACTTTTTAAATACACAATTAACCGACTTTCTACTGCTTCTTTAATTGTTGTATTTCTCGCTGAGTAGGGGCACTTAATTTCTAAAAGACTATCATTGGATATAATTGCGTCTGGAGAAGCTCCTAAAAATGGCCACTGACTATTGATAAAAATTCCGCAGTCTGAAATCTTTAAATTGGGATATTTTCTTTCAAAGACCCCTTTCGCTCTATCTTCGTTATTTTTGCCCCAAGCAGTCGCTTTTGTACAAATATTTTTATACAATATATTTTGAACTATTGAATTACAGCCTGTTGTTTGACGCATTTTACAAACTTGGCCAAATGTGGATGCAGTTAAAATTTTCTTTCTTATTTGCAGCCATTCTGCAGAGTCTGCTTGTAGTTTTGTTCTTTTTTCTAGTTCAACAAATTCTTCTTCACTCTTTTCTAAATCAGCTATATATTCTTTCTGTAGTGCATCAAAAGTAGCCTTATCAATATCTGGTTTTTTGCATTCCTGTCCATAATTTGTATCTATAGTAGAAAATATTTGTTTACGCCTTTTCAATCCCTTTTTTCGTTCTGATTTAATTTTTAATCTAGTTTCATGATTAAATATATTAAAATGTGCATAACGTCCATGTAGCAAATGCTTGTAAACAGTAAACAGCTGCCTTCTGGTGTTTTTAGCAACAACGGCAGCAAAACATCTACCTTGGTATGATCTTCTTTGGGTGTAATTTACCCTTTTACCACCTACTTTTTGTGCAATCATGGCATTAAACTGCTCCACCAAATTTGTGTCGACATTCTCTAATAAGCTTCTAGAATGCCCAGCCAAGAATTTACATACTTCGTTAATTTTTTCGTCTAGTTTAAAAGTTTTTAAATCAGACATGTAATTGTTCTTATCGGCTTCTGTTTTACTACAAAAATATTTTAATTTATTACAATTTCTGTGCTCCCCAAATATGTGGCTAATACTATTTAAAATATCTTGACGAAGACATTTAAGTTTTTCTTCCTCGGTATTGCTTTGTTCTGTTTTTCTATGTGCAATAGCTTTCGTAACAGCTGTTCTTGCCTTTAAAATATTATTATTAATCACAGTTTTTAAACTTCCCGGAACTCCCCTTGTTTTTGCAATTTCTCTTAATTTATTGCAATAATTGCGCAATAAATGATTCCGGCATTCTATTTTTTGTACTACACATGTTGGATAAGGACGACTATCTATAATTTTTTTGTAGCAACTACTGTCACCATCCGCTATCATTTTATTATATATAATATTATACATACCAAGACTATTACGAAACCCATCAGCAATTATATTTGCTTCCATGCTAGTAGATGAACCTGAATAATTTTTAAACAAACATGTTTGGGTACTTCAGATTTTTTATTTGTATATCGTTGACATATGCAGCAGTATTTATTTTTAATACCAAGATATAATATTTTGCCTGTTTTTGCTCCTACAATTGCTGCAGCTCCAGATAAAGAATTATAATTTCCGCCGATCCTGTAGGATCTTTTTGCCCAACTACCATCACATACAACTGTTATCATAGCTGTTCCATCTTTATCGACTTGACCATTCTCAATGGCTAGTTCTCTTTCCTCCGCAGCTACTGTCGCCATTGTTTCCCAAGCAGTTTCTTCCCATGCGTTGCAAACCTCATCATGAAGTTTCTGGTATAAACCTAACCCAAATGTTGGAATGTTCATTGCATTGCTAAAATTTTTTATCTGGCTATATCCACCTCCTACATTCATAATTCCTGCTACCGCGGAAATGTTAATATTAACAGAGTCAGGTTCGTTAGGACATGAATATATATAATTACTGTAACCACACATATCACACTCTACTCTAAATTTTGACTGAAATCCAGTTCGATATTCTTTAATAAAATGTACATTATTTAAATTACATCCAAGTTCTGGCGAATGGTATGCAACTGTCTTCAGCTGCTCTAATAACATTTGAAAGTTTACAATCCTGTAGCCCTCGATTATTATGTAAAAGATAAAATTGAAGTATATATATAATTTTATTAATGAAATAAACCAAATTTAACTTTTTTATGATATGAAAGGACGTTTTTTGTCTCTAGATCAGTTAAATTATTAACTAAAAAAAGTAATAAAATAATGGGAATTAAGTTCACACTAGGCACAAGGTAAATAAAATGGACGAGTACTTCCTTGGTATAAAAGTTGCATGTAGAAACTTACGTCATATGTTATCTCCACAGAAAAAAATTGACAAACCTTGGAGTTGACTAACATTGGAAAAAATTATAGACTGGGAACAATAATTTAACCGAAAAGTATGTGATCATCTTACTCACTTTTAACCTAATTATAATTGTAATATTTGTAGGAAGGATTCAAATACTCGTCCATTTAATTTACTTAAATTACTTATTGTTTAT